TTTTGAACAAGGGGACAAAGGGGAGCCGGTGTCTTTCCAGTCATTCCAAAATCCTAAGTCTGTCACCATGGCTGAAGGCTCGGCCTGCCCGTTGGATCCCCCACCAAAACAGTTAGACCAGATATGGTGGAAATTATATAGGTTTTAGTATAAAGAACAAGGAGATGAGGTGCAATAAATACTTATCTTTCTTAACAAAAGTATTAAGTATATTATGTCATGATTATTTTTATAATATCATGTATCACAATTATTTTGGCCAAGATAATTGTGACATGAAGTTTTCATACTGTCCCATGCCTAATTCTGACATTAGCATTTAACACAAAGCTACAGCTGTAGAGCGCATTTACACATAGCTGTCGACTGAGACCAACTGAAATCACACATAGTCATCCGTTGTTGCAGTCAAAAATATTTTCAGTGTTTTCAAGCTATTGTCAATAGTTTTTTATTATTAAAAGGAAGAAAAAGGTCTTCGGGGAAATATGATAATGCTCCCTTTGGCAGCTGGAGGGGTGTGTCAGTGCTTGACTGACAGCAGCTGGCAGGCTGAGCCCTGGCAGGGGAACTAGATTAACAAACTTGCGTAGGAGGTTACAAGCCAGCAATGGCATTGAAGAGTAAGTGCCAGAACAGCATCCAGACAGACCAAAGTGATATTTGCAGATAAGTTTACTGTTTAATGTGCTGCAGCTGACCGGCTAATTGGCTAATATGGACGGCAAACCTACATTAGCAGTACACTTTTCCCCTGTGACTGTTTGGTTGCTTGTTCAACAAGCTAATGTGCAGGACATGTTTAGATAACAAGGACACTTACTAGGAAAGCTGATCTAGGTTGCTCCAAATATGTGGTTTAAGATTAAGTGATTTTATTGATTGTATGGAAACAAGTACATCCATAGACAGAAAACTGACAATATTCTGACAAGATAGACTAAGAAATATGGAGTATGAATTTCTCTCTTTTCTCTTTTAACACATGAGATGTGATTTACAGAGCTGATATGTATGGTTTACCAAAAAAACAGACAAAAACAAAGTAACGTGCAATTTAATTTAAGTTTTAGTTAAAGTATTGTCCAGATTATGTACTATGTACATAACACAGTTCATAGTCAAAAGGTATTGCAGACAACACTAACACAACATGTTGACAGCAGTCATGCAAATATGTAAAAAACATGCTCTCCACTTTAAAAAAAAATATTGGACAGTGTGTTGGATGTCCATTAAGCATCTTCAGCAGAACAATAATTTAATAATAATAATATTTAATTTGCAACAAGTTCCTTTATCACCCGTAATTACGGTTAAGCTATTGCTGTGACTTACCACATTTTAAACCAGGCTCATGTATTCTTTGCCACATAACATACGTTTCACGTGGAAGGAATCTGTGTACCAGCAGCAGATGTTTATAATAACAAGGGTCATGTTGATCTGTTTTGCTGGAGGGAATGTGAACTGTTAGCGTCCTCACACCAATATGCAAATCAGGTGCAAGTCCTGCTTTGGCCAGACACATCCCCATGTAAACATCATCAATGGGAAAAAGACCAATGGACTGGGACATGTTGTATATGACTAAAGCTGTATGGACAGACAGGAGGAAGCCCCCACCGCCACAGTAGGAAGGATATTCTTTTGAAGGGTACAACTGAAATGGAATAAAATACTTGCTCCTTAAAGATCTATTGGGTTTTGCATTTTTCATCAGATGGCCAGTGAAGAGGTGCTTGCTCCCATTATTGTCTTTGAGGCTTTGGAGATACGCAACTATGTTGTCTGTGTTGGCAAAGACGTCGTCATCGCCATTTAGCATGAAGCGAGCTTGCGCACAGTTTCTTTCCATCCATTCAAGGAAGAGTACCTGCTTCAAGGTGAGGTTGAAAAATGATTCATCAAAGTCCCATTGGAGAATGTCACTGTACTCGCATTGCTCCAGTTCGAGGAGTTTGTTCAGTCTCTCTTTCTCTAAACCATTTTCCATTGTTCCTGAGATGAAGATCCTTCGAATCCACACGCCATTGTGTATCCTCTCTTTAGCCCAGGTTTTGCGCAGCAACTCTCGGCGTTCGTAGTTCACTGGGGAGCTTTTAATGACCAACAGAAGGAAGACCTCTGCAGAGTCATCAGCTCCTCCACATTTGTCAGGAACGTCTAGTAGCATGGGGAAATGGCGACAGTGATGATAGTAGAGAAAATTTTGAATCAGACCAGAAAGAAAGCGGAAGCCTTTCCTGTCGGCAGCGGACTCATCCTTTTCACATTTTGGCCAGGATTGTACAGAGGAGTTGTGTCTGGTGACTGCCTTTGTTCGACAGCCAACCTTTTTCACCTCTTCTTTGAGATGAATGGTTTTGTGGTCACTAGAATCACTACAGATATAAACAACCGCAAGAAGAGCTCCCAGCAGCAACAGAGTTCTGAACGTTGTCCTTCGAAGTCTGCAGTGAAAAACAAAACAGTTCTCATCGACTGACATAAATGAATATATTGAAGACTAATCAGTTACTAAAGTACTAAGGGATTTAGATAAATTAACCTATAGTCATTGTTAAGATGTGCATACATTACAGTTAATTTTGCAGTAACAGTAATAAGGTAAAACATGATATAAATATAAACATGTTATTGAGCAGATTTCAAGCTGTTGAGGAGTGCAAGATATGAATGCACTTTATTTGTGATTTTATTTTAAATCCTAAAATGACCCATTAACCTTTTCTGATCCAAAACGATCTGAAATTATTCAAGGGACCATTATTTCATCTGCACTGTTATGGTTGAAGTTAAACTGGTTAAAAAAAAATACTGACATTACTCCTCATTATTTCTTTGGCCACAAGAGATATTCGCAAACAGTAAAACACCTGAACAATAATAAATTTTTATGTTTATGTTGGAGAAACTAGCAAGAGACAGCTACATTTTGAAAGTATCCACCCCCTCCCTTCCAGCCTCCCTGTAAAGCTACTCCCCCAACACACACGACAGTGTTAGGTAAAGGAGCGCAGTCAACGATTACCCTCTTACTTAACTACATTACTACCTCATGTCTCTCACATTGTACGTCTTTCATAATACATAGGAAAATAACAACCCCCTTTCTCAATCAGTGTACCATTTACAGTAAAGTGCGTATCTGAAGACTTCTGTCAGTCTCTTAGTCTTTAGTCTAGTTTTAAGATGGCAAACTTGTTCTTTCATTGAAAACCAAAGATATGATACTTAGGAAATCAAAATGGCCGAAAGGAATGTATCATTCAGTGCCTGACCTCAGCTGACACACATCACTTTGGTGGAAACCAATAAAGCATTTGAACAAACAGGTTCTTCATAAAGTGACTAATCATCATAGTATTTGGTATCACCAACGCTGTGCCACAATGTTACTGTGACAGCAAGAAATAAAGAACTAACTAGCGTTACCTCTTACTTGTATGCCTTGAAAGAAAGCGACACTCTTAAATACTTACTGGTTCTCTTTAAACTTTTTAAATAAAACATCATACATATGTCATATCATAAAGATTTGTGGGCTTAATTGAGAAAAAAACAAATGAATTATGACTGAACACACACCCAAATCAGAAAATCCACCTATTATCTGCTGATTGAATAACATCTCAGCTTGTTTACATAATGTTAACACAAATATATCAAAAAATATAAAAACACTGTAAGAATAAACATATTTTATATGTAAAAACAATTAAATCAATTTTCACTTAGTCGACAACAATAATTACCTGAACATATTAGTTGATCAGTGTGAGCGTGTGGTGAGTATCCCTTTGAAAGACAGCCTTTGCAGATTGACGGCAAAGATGATGTACAGGCTACCTGTCACATTTTCCCCCACGTTCAGCCGGTCAGGTAGCATTATAGTAGGTTGTCAGGATTAGCAGAGAATAAAACAGGTGGAGCTTACAGAACAATACACATATTTACATGTAAAAGTCAAAGCTGCTAGGCAGGAAACGATTACTGTCACTGCTCTGCTATGTACCCTGCTGGATACAGTCCAGACCCCTCCTGTGTCAGGGCTGCTTCGCTCTTTTGGGCTTACTCACTTTCTTCCTTTCAAAGCTAGGTTCTTAATTCAGTTTAGCATAAAGACAAAGGCATTAAAGGAGATACTTAGTGCGAAACTGCATGAATAGTAAAAGTGATCGTTCAGAAAAGTCCAATATCCCAAGAGAGAAACATAACTTACTACTACAGTACATTAACCCATTAAAAACCCAGTATGGAACCCTTCTCTTCTAAGCCTTTGCTGCCCATTTGTTGTTGGGAAGATGGTAGCAATCTGGTCATGAGTGAAATGATTTTATGCCAATCCATCTGGTAGCTGTTGAGATATTTCACTGGATAAATTAAAACTCTGACCTGCTGGTGGATCAACACTGGGCCACCACTTTGGTCCACACTGAAATATTTCAACAACTATTAATTTATTTCAAAAATACTTTAAAAAAAATCGTGCTAACACACTAAAGCAAGATGGTGAACACAGTAAACACTATTCCTGTTAAACATCAGCATGTTAGCATTGTCGTTGTGAGCATTAACATTAGCATTTAGCACAAAGCTGCGGTGCCTAAATGCAGCCTCACAGAGCCACTGGTCTTGGTGCTGTCTTACTGACATGTCTCAGCGGGACTGCAAAAATCAATTAGTCTATCAGGTACAATTGAATTAATTAACCTGAGAGTATGGATCAATTACATCATCCATCTCCTGCTGGGGGAAGCTCCCTGAGGCCACTAAACCGAGGGCACAGACTTTCCCATGGGATGGATGCCGGAGGTGAGGGTGGACTGGGAAGTCCCCTTGAGGGAAGAAAAATAAAATCTCATTAGCTATGAGCTAAGCAACTAAAAATGCTTATCCGGTTTGAGAGAGGAAAGAAGCAACCCTTTGTCTTTTGTCCCCACTGTTCAAGTGTGACTTCCTTCCAGGGACTCGTGGCACTGGAGCCAGATGCTGCATGGCAACTAATCCTTGTTTACATACATTTCCAGAGGGGGAGAGATCATTTCAGGAGAGATGAGATCCAATGGAAAGTCTTCAGTCTGTGCAGTTTACTGCATGATCAACCTTGTTATACAAACTTTAATATTTAGAGTAAAAAAAAATGTGCTCAGCTATGAAGTATATGACCACCAGCCATTGTAATTTTATGCAGCCCACACATTAATGCTTTTGCATGAAATTTCAATAGGCTCAAGAGGTATCAGTAATGTTGGTTGCAACCATCACAATCAATTCCGGACACTGTAAGTGTTGCATGAAAATAACACATTAATTAACTTGTAATGTGGTATCTCAGATTGTTCAGACATCAACATGGTTCACGGTTCTTTTAAGATGTATCTTGACCTCACACAGCCTCACTTTGAGCCACGCTATTGCCTAAATTCAGAGTGTTTGGTCATGCTGTCTGTATCTAATTAGCGAGCTGCTGGAGAACTTGTTTCGCCTCGCTAGGCACTCTTCCTGTAATGAACTGTGTGCAGAATGACGACTACATTTCAGACTAGTAACTGATGTCCTTGCAGATTGCCACCATATGTTTAAATGCTGCTTTTGTAAACACTTGTGCCATGTGCTTAGATGGAAATGCATTAGGTGCAGCCATCTGTTTCTGAACCTCGGGGCGTGCACATTTGTTTGTTGGCCCTTTATTGTTGAGGCAATTAGAGAATTTATTTTGGGAAAACTTCCGGCAACAGTGTTTTGTTCTATAAGTAAATGATGTCAGCCAAGAAAATAATATTCCCATTTCAGTGTTTGTACGAGTGAACACTTCTTCTCGTTGTCATTATTCCTGGTGGTGACTGAGACAGTGGACTCACTGAAGTCACTGGAATGCAACCTTGAAGCTTTTTCTTATCAGCAACATGGAATGATTAACTTGTTCTGAAGTCACATTCAATCAGAAGCACTCAAAAACACAGATGTAATTCATTATAAATGTTTTTTATGGCATAATACTTGAAATCTATTGGCCCTGCTATTGACCCCTGTTGGCTTTGCAATGTGTGATGGAAACAAATGAACTTAATGCGTTTATCTGACCTTTGATGACCTCTTGAAGTTAAATCAGGAGGGAATGCACTTTGTGTCATTAGAGCAAGTCAAGCTGAAGTGCTGCTGTTGTGTCTTTGACAAAGTGACTTCCTAATGGACCTTTTTTGTTTGTGCTTGTCTTTCTCTTATTAGGTGTACCTCATCAACGTCACTTACTCAGACTCCACCTCCCATGTCATCTACAGGAGATACAGCAAATTCTTTGACCTACAGGTATGTTATACTGGAAAACTAACTACATAGTCCCATAGTCACTTACATGCATGAGCGGTTTAAGTTTTAAAAATGTATACTGTGTGTTGAGAATGGCCTGAATAAGTCTTCTTCATATTAAACTCAGTGAGGTCAGTTTGACCTTTTGGTCATGGCTTTCTGTTCAGCTGCTGGCAGGCGGTATGCTCACTGAAAGGTCTCATTTAAGACGACTGGAGCCTGCTTGGAAAAAGGGAAATGGGGGAAATCCAGTCAGCAGATGCAGGAAGAAAACATGAACTCAGTCAGTATGCAAAATACAGCATGGCAGAAAGTTATACCTCAGGATTTCTGAGGGAACCAGTTGCCTCCAGTGAAATCTTTGTATTTCCTATCAGTGACTAAAGTTTACATTTTAAGCACACAGGGCTTTGTCTGAAGTAACCTAAGCAACAGTGTGAGGGGTTTCAACCTAAATAATACCGTATCAAGCGTTTTTCTTGTAAAAAAAACTGTCTCTGGCTCGTCTCTGATAACCCTCTCTACCAGACTGCACTCTACAGCGCTGCGGCTCTGGTGGGCTGGCTGTGTTAAAGGCAGCAGAGGAAACCCTTTGTTCTGTGGTCTCTTGCTAATAGCCAGGAAAATTCTGCCCTAGTCTGTTTGATGGAAACAGAGCTTCTCTCCTGTCTATGTAAACATTAGTCTTGTCTATAGATCCCTGCTGCCGGGGTGTGTTTGTCTGGCCACGGTAATACGTGAAGAACAACAGTCTGCAGCTGCCCATACAAAATGGGTGGGGGTATTATGTTTTATCTGTCCCTATATGAACATAGTAATATAGGTGAAAGATGAGTGAAATAGTTGTCGACAATCTATGCTTACTACTGGATTGAGCAGGTTTAAAAAACAACATGTCGTTTAGATAATGCAAGGACCAATCCCAGAAAGCACTGGATAAAATAAGGAGGAAGTTGTGATCAGGAAGGGGTTGGGGGTTGGGGTGTTGATCAGTTTTGGAGCCTTGGATTTAAAGACTGAAAGGAAGCTTTCCTGTGGAAGTTTAGTTAAGACAACTATTTAACTGCTGTGCATCTCCTTAATGATTTTAATGATGTTGAGCAATGATGGTCTGTATTCCCCAGGCAGAAACTGAGCTTTCGTTTGTGTCTGTCAACTGACACCTACAGTCTCTACACAGTGCTCTCTCTTCGTAGCACAATTGTGCGTTTCATGTTCCCTCGAAGCTGACGGAGAAAAAAATGCATTTGACACCCATGGCCCTTGACAAATGTGACCATGATCTCATCTGACAACCATTAATTTTGAATTCAGAAAAGTAAGGTCGCAGAACAAATGACGCCTTTTAAGCAGTGACCGATCATTCTTATTGTGTCCAACATCAGTCAGCGCTTTACAGCTGGTCATATAAAACCCCTCGTCAACAACAGGCAGCTTTGCTGTTTGTCTTTAAAGAATGAAGTATCCATTTTCATTGCCAAATGGATGTCCAAAAGTGCACTCACTGCTAATGTTTCAAACCTCTCCAGTGCTCATAACTACTCCTCTGGGAAGCAATTATCATAAATGATCAGGATACCATCTTCTTTTTATCTGACTCCTTCATATCGTCTTTTCTGCTAACCTAAAGTGAAATGTGGTGTTTTTAAGTTAAGCACATCGATTCCTTAAAGACATTTGTTTTCATGCTGAATACTGCTGAGCCCTGTTTTCACCGAATGCTGTTTCTGGTGTTAGAGGGAAATGTTTTTGGCATATGTTTGACATGAGCAGAATTGGTCAGTGTGTCAAACAGAGTTTACCATCAGAGAGAAGTGCGTGAGCCCCCTCCACACCCTTCAACCACAGAGCACATGGGTCACAGCATTCCTCAGGGGGATTGTGGAGTGTGCAAGCTGGCCTGGTTTCCTTTTGGACAGAAACCTCTCCAAAAATCCCTTAGTCGTCATTATTTTTGGATTGCGAAACTGGACCAGGGTCAGCTCTACTCTGTCTACATTATAATGTGTCTGGCCTACATTCCCGACATAAGATGGGACTTAAATAAGGTTATTTTTTTGAAAAAACTGTTGTCAAACCCAGACTGCTTTGCAGGCAATGAGGCAAGACAAACTAATAGCTGAAAATAGTCTGTATTCCACTGATTTAGCATTTAACATTGTCGGACTCATGATGGACAATTAAAAAAAAGTATCCAAATTTATGCAGCAGAACCCGATATTGTTTTTTTCATTTCACACATTCTTCTTCCTTCTTAAAACCTGATCCATAAATTAACCACAATACAACTCAGCTGCCAATAATTTGGTCAACCTCAGATTTTTGTCATTTTCAAACTGGTAGTCTTTAACCCCAGTTGATGCTGTCTCAAGTGACGTCACTTGAGGCAATTTGACTTCACCAAGCTTCCGCTGGAGCAACACTAGGTTTTGTGCAATTCCTTTTCATGTCTGTTAGCAGACTTTGACGGGGTTACTTTTCAGAATGAATAAACTCATTATAGTCATTGAGCCCATGGGTTGCAGAGATGAACAGCCCAAAGATTTTTCAGTTGCGGCAATCCACTCCAGTACCAGAGGATAGATAAAATGTACGTTTATGTTACTTGTTTCTGATAATGATGACAGTGCAGCTTTTGTACAATAAAATGTGATTCCAAGTCAATCTAAGACACTTCATGACCAAGAGGGCTGTTGCATCATAATCTCTCCCTGCAGTAAACAACTGTCAAGCAGATGTCAAAACACAACCCAGAGATGGGATCAGATTGTTTTCCCACTCAAACATTCCCCCGAACTCCCCCTGTCTGAGATTCCTCTCAGAGTAGCTTCTTTGTCTGCTGTTCAGTGCAGTGTCTCTTTGTCTGTTCCTCCCTCCCTACTCCTGCGAGTGCAATCAAGTTTAAATGCTTCAAATGATTATCATTACAGTGCACAGAAGCTGTTTGGGTTTTTCCTGTCACCATAATTCATGTCCTCTAGGCCATGATGCTAAAATAGAGATATGTTCGATGATGGAGTGTTTATTGCGTCTTCCTCGGGCGTTTATTCACCACGCTGATCATCGAGTGTGTAAAAAGAGATTATAATTACATCATAGCACCTGTTGCTACATGGATATGATCATTTCCCAGTGGGAACACTTGGCTGACTCTGCAGCTTAGTACACTGAAGTATCCTGTGCAGAGTTTAGGAAAGCAATGTAAAGTAAATACAGCATCTGGGGTCCCTAAAGCCTCTGAAATAAAGGTATGCGAAATGTGAGAAGTGTTTTCCCTTAGACTTTTGTCCGAAGTAGTTTTGGTTGTTGCCATAGAAACGGCTTTCACACCTGACCCATCGAGCTGTGAGTGTATCAAGGCGGGTCCCCGGGGAGGTGATGTCACCATCGCTTCTGGATGAGCGGCCTCTCCGTCAGCCGAGGTGGTTTCTGAAGGTGTTGAGTGAACTCTCCCATCTTTGAGGGAGTATACGGCTCCAACCAGCTGGAAGGCTGATAAGATGATGAGTGTGCAGCTTAGTGTGTCAGACAAACAATACAGTTGCCAAAGCACTGTTACAAAAACTGGGATTTTTGGAAATTACAGCCTATTGCCGTAGTATTCCAAAGAAAAACAGCCTGGTTTGTATATATATTTAATGTCTTGCCTTTTCAGTTTTAGGAGCATAAAACTCTGCTGTGCATGTTTAAGTGCAGGTGTGGTTAACCATGGCTGTTCTTTATTCTCAGCCCTTTTACTTGGCCTTTAAACCACAATAATGACGGCTGTCCTCTTCAAAAGAAACCATTTCTTGTTAGCTGTCTATATTTCGGAGGAGGGGGGCAATGCCATGCCATGCCCTGAGAGAAATTTTGAGATTCAGCAAAGGCAGCAGATGAGTGAAGAAAAGAAAGAACCACAAGAGGAGAAAACCAAACCACCTCTTACTGGAGAAGTCCCACAAACAACTTCTGCAGGCCCAGACGGAGTGGATCCAATCCTGATTCTGTTTGTCCACCTGGTTGTTTTTGGCTTAGCTTAGACCAAGACTAGTCTCCTGGTCTCCTCCTCCCAGTGTAGTGTGCTTTAGCTCGACGCTCACAGTCTTTGCTGTTTAACTAAGCACATCTGGAACGAGGCAAGCAGAACGAACAAAGGCGGGGCTACATCTGGATTTCGAGCAAACTGTTACTTCAGGATGCTCTCATGTGCGTTCATGTTATTGCTGTGATTTATTCCAAGAGGAAACTAGAAACTCTTGTCCGCGATTCAGACACATACAGACACATACTCAACACATTTGCAACGCACATTTTTTTTCAGCACTCAACAAAACATCCTACACAATATAGCAAATGTTCCTTGTACACATGGGACAGATGCACACATACAGTATATGTCTGTGCTGACACATGCTGAAACTGTTAGAAACCGCTACACATACAGTTGTATGCTGTCATTGTAAAAGACTTGACACGGTATCAGTTTTTTCTGTCTGTTTCACTCTATATCTCTCAATTCATCGAACCAGTAAATGATCTGCAGTGTCAAGTGTTAACATCAAAGTGTTAATTATCTCCACGCATGTCTTTTTAATCTTCTTAAGTGGAACTTGGTTTTGATTTTTATTTCCAGATAAGTGTGGGTGACCTTGTCTGCTGCTCCAGAGATCAAAGTGAAACTGTTTGTAGTTGCATGACACTAGCCTTTCATACAATATGTAATTACACCCTGTGTTAAACTTATGTACCATAACAAGGAGGTTGACTGTTCCTGGAGAGTTTGCAACCGCCTTTTTTTTGTTTCTGTTGCTCCACTTTCAACTTTGACTGATAAAATTGTGGTAAATAATAGACAGTTCATGTGGTTCGGCCAGTAAGCAGTCATATGATAATAATTGCTTGTCATTTATGTTGGCATGTGTCTTTTTCATGGCAAACAAAGAAGCGTGTTTTTCGAGTTTTGCTGCACAGCTCATGTTTCTGTCACTCTTTACTTTCTCCCTCACTTGTGCAGATGCGAATCCTTGACAAATTCCCGATTGAAGGAGGACAGAAGGACCCCAAAAAGAGGATTATTCCTTTTTTGCCAGGTGATGAACACAATGCACCATAGCATGCACAACACTTGGATCAAGTTTATATTCATCAAAGAAACTGCAAGTACAAGCTCAAGAAGGGCCTTCAGACATTTTCACGCACAATCAATGTTTGTTTGTCCTCCTACAGACTCCATAGCATTGCCTACCACATTTCATTGTATTATTAAACGCTATACTCCCCCCTGGCCAAATCAATTTGTGGTCTGCCATGGCAGTGGGAGGCTAGCAGAGAGGGATTTTTCTAATCTGATAAACTCATTGTGGGCTAGAGCAGAGGAGAGCTTCAAGAGACTCTTTGTTGGACAAGAAGTCTGGCCAGCGCTGTTTTGATCTCTCTGTAAGCCAGACATGGGGTGAACTGTATTCGATTACACGGCAAATAGCGTGCACAGTTTAGGGGGCTTCATGCATTTAAACACTAATATTATCAGTCAGTCTACTGCGACTTATAAAGTGAGAATTGCCGGTAAGAGGGGAAAAGTAACTTTTTACAACTGCTCCCATTCATTTATGGATTAGAAGAGCATTTTGAGTTCTCTGTTTTTAGAATCAAGACAGTATTAATAAAGATTTAAAAAACCTCTTCTTTAGTATGTCATGTCAAATGAAGGGAAAAAACACTTAATTTCTACAGCTGGACTTCACACTGAAAACATTTGAACTATTTTCCACAGTAGGGGCAAGAGAAGTTTTCCATATATGGGTAATAAGTTTACGTCCCATCATCAATACTGATCTCCCTTTTAATTTAAGTACATTTGATTATCTGAAGTTTTAATTTTGGTATTTTTTAATGTTTTTGGAGATGAGTACAACTGACAGTGCTGTGTTTTTCCTCAGGTAAAGTCTTGTTTCGCCGGAGTCACATCAGAGATGTAGCCGTCAGAAGGCTGAAACACCTGGATAATTACTGCAAAGTAAGACAAAGGCTGTATGTCTCAGAACTGTTCGAGTCCTTAGTGACAGTTAGTCTTTTGTTACGACACACCTTCTAGGACAGTAAATGATGACCTTTTTTGGTTTATGTGTGGGTTGGTTATCTATGTCAGTGCTGTACTCCCATAACATTTGGCACAGTATTTCCAAGGCAGACCTCAACATTTATCTCCCCCACCAGCCTCAACAGGAAAGCAAGTGCTCTATCTGAGCTGGTCATTTCCTGTCACCGATGTAAATAGGCAGCCTATAAAGGAAACGAGGGAAACGAGGGCAGAAACAGAATCTAAAGAATAAGAATGAATCAGCAGACTTTTAAGTGTAGTAGTAAGTTTAGACCTGACCCTCTTATATTCAGTAGGTCGGAGAAGGGAATGTAGGGCAGGTGCTGTGCCAAGTGTGGCAGCAGTTTTCATTTAGAGGAACTAAATGAGATTTGCGGTGAAGGCAAGAAGCTTAAAGACAACAAAACTAGATTTATTTTTAATATTGTTTCTATAAGAATGTCTTTGCTGATTCAAGTGGACTGGGCTGAAGTACCTCATTTTAAAAGTATATACGCAGCTGAGACAAGCAGTCGTTACACTATATCACCTCTGTGTGTTTTCCTTTGTTGTAACCCTCACTCTGGGCTCAGGGCCTTCTTCCTTCCCCTCCACACCCTCCACATCTCCTCCTGGCCTTCTCATCTGACTGACTGTCCAGTGACTAAGTGCTGTAAACTGGTTACTCACTGCCATTCAAACCAAGCTGTTAAAATATACATGCTTTTAAATATGTGTTTTTGTTGCAACCAGTAGCTTTCCTTCTCCCCCACAGGCTCTGATGAAGCTTCCCTCCCACCTTTCCCAAAGTGAGGAGGTCCTTAAGTTCTTTGAGACCAAGTTAGAGGACCTCAACCCTCCCACAGAGTGAGTAACTATCCCAGCATACGTAAGCTACCATTCATCATTAGCATCCCTATTATATAAACTGTTGCATACCAAACAAACACTTTGGAGGCTATAGCAGCAGATTGTGTGTGTGTGTGTATGTGTGTTGTGTGTGTGTGTGTGGTTCAGCAGCTGGAACAGATGCCTTTCACCCACACTGACCCATCTTGATCCAGAGGCTTTGCTGTGTCTCAGAGATGATTGATGTTTTTTGGTTGAGAGGCACTGTGTTTTATTAATAATGATTTCTGGGAGCTGACACCTGATCCCAAAACGAATGCTAAGGATCAGTGGTGTCATGGGAGTGCAGCTGAGTTCAAGTCTTGGAGCAGATAAAGCTCTCAGACTAGTCATTTGTCATACTCAGTTCAAAGTCAGAGTGGGAGTAATTACAGACCGGCTGCTAGATTGCTTTTTTGTTTAAATTCGATTCTTTCCTTTGATTCATGTGCAGTGTATTCTCTATGATAGTATTTTTCCTCACCAGAGTATGAATTTAAACCCATTAAATGTCATCTGTACACTGCCCAACAAACTCAAGGAGAAAAATGTGATCGAGTGAACTCTTGAGTGGTCTCTCCACTATCGCCAAGCCCCCCCCTCACTACCCATACATGTTAATCCCACTTCAAAGTGAGATCCTCCTCCGGTCTCGGAGACAGTTGAGTGCAGATTAAATTGAGATGTTGAGGTCTAAAACCCATGCCACCCAAGTGCTCAGTTCACTACTCATTTCAAAATGACTTCTAGGATGTTATTCTTTTTTTCACAAGATCACAGAAAAGGTAATGTTGTAATGCCATTTAATTACAATGTGTGAGGTATGGTGAAAAAACATTTATTGCCATTGTTAAACTGTTAACTGTTAAAATAGATTGGAAGAATGAAACCATAAAGTTGTAAGTGAGAGGTATTTAATCACATTTTGGGCAAAATAAGTAATGATATTATTGGAAATAACTGAGGAATAAAAGTTTTTCTGCTCAGGTAACAATGACCGAGTTCAACAAAGGTCTTCGCTGTCCTAGTCACTGAAACATGATGAGTACAGGCTGTAAAAATCAGTTGAACCAATCAATCCAACATGTCTATCAAAGTGATTATTTATGAGGCCAATCATACTCATGACATTTTCTCCACCCTGAAACATGATTCAGATCCATTTTACTGGTATTTCTGCCAATAATCAGTCACCATAAGCATCAGCAGCGAGGCAGTGCTGTTTGTCAAGCCCTCATCTGCTACTGCCATCTAATGCTCAACAGATGTCACTGCATGGACAAAAAAAAAGATGTGACGTTGTAACTGGCCCCAAGAGGGAGCCATGCAATAGGCTGAAGGTATCACATTACACTGATATGTGGCAGGGTTTTTTGTGTGTGTGTGTAATAGTGTTGAATCTTTTTGGCTTAAGATCCTTTAACCAAAGTTAAAATTCAAATAAGGATGTGCACTTGTAAAGTAGTTTCAGAGGCCTGAAGGCTGAAAGCTATTGAATATTTAACAAGAAAAGTGAACTTTTGGAGAAACTTTGGAGACAAATTAAGACAAATAGACATTATAATGCATTTGGCTAATAGAATCATGTTTTTCATAGTCTTACATCCTGGAGTCTTGATCAGCACCACAAAAGACTGTTGATAAAGGAGTACATGCAGGGAATATTTAATTATAGAGATTTCCTTTATGATAATTAAGGCGGCTGGCCAGATATAGGATTAAAATAGTACGTTTTAGTCATCAATCATTCTTTCAACATTGCAGTGTTACTGCAAATTATGTAGATGAGCATTTGTGTTGTTTGCAACAAGGTACTGTAGGGTAATTGTGCTTATAAATCTGTCAGCTTTGAGGTGTTTTTGCTGAGAAAATATGTACCTTCAATGCCAGCCCATGTTTTTGCTTGTTCACCGAAAAATATCTTTTTCTGCCCTACAGTACCTGCAATGTGACTTTGCTTAGTATTATATTTTTAGAATGGTGATAAGTAAGTTAAACTTTATTGATGCCCCTGGGGAAATTTGTCCTCTGCATTTGATCCATCATAACTATTTAGGAACAGTGTGCAGCCACAGCGCAGCGCCTGGGGACCATCTGCAGTTCTGAGGCCAGCAAGCTGGTCAAGGGCAATGGCGCAATTATGAATAATTCAATAAACATATGCATATATCCATCATCTCCATAGCATCGTCCCCAACCCTAAACGCAGGTTAAACTTAGCTCAGTTTTATTTGGTCATCTGTTTATATTTTGTTGTTGATGATGACTTGTATTTCAAATCTTAGTTGCATTTGTACTTAAACCTCTCTGGTTTGCTCAGTTTTACTCTACATCTACACTTGGGAGTCTGAGCATATGTGACCCAGCGGGTAGTATAATGACTCAACATACAGAAAAATCAAAGGTTATGACCTCACCCACTGAGGAAGATTTACCTCCTCCTGTAATATTAGCACTTCCTGGAGTGTACTTCCGGTGCATACACCCAGTCAGTTCAAGGCCGCTGGGTTTGATCATACAGATGTTCCAAGTAGGACTCACCTAAATCTCTTTAACTCCGCAAACTGAAGAGGTGCACATTTGTCAGATTTAATCATTGGCATAATCAATGCCACCTAAGATTTCCATATAAGACTACCAGTTTGGCAGAGCCTCTATCCTCAAGTCTTGCTGTCAGAAATCAGCAAACAAATGTAGCAGTGTCAGTAGTGGTGCTAGAGGACCCGATCCATGACTAATATGAGAAGGGATATATGACAGGATAATATTATAGTCTACAGTAGGTGATGTTCTGCATGTCGGGTGTGTCAGGATGATACTAGGCAGAAACCACAGAGAGCCTGAGGCAGCTGTCAGAGTGAGAGAATATATGTGTAAGTTGCTGTGCGGAAAATGGCCAATAAAAATGATCAAATCTGAAATTCCTCTCAGTAAATTGGCAAGCCAGGATGATGATGATGGTGATCTGCCCAACAGAATATTAATTCTGTATAAGTTTTTCTTTGTTATATATTTTATTTTAGTCACTTTCTGTATCACATTTAAACTCTTAATTAGTAAAGATTGAGGCGTTATGATTTCAGGCCAAATAAGTGTGCTTTGTCTGGATGACTCATGAATTTGTTCTTACTCCAGTATGAGAAAGTTGGTTCTTTTAAATCACTCACATGCCAGATTTTAACAACACTGTTCATATAAGTGGTTTATACGAGTGGAGTTCAGGCCCATTGAGTCCACCTTGCTTTCTGATGAATGTCTGCACTGTGCCAGGCAGCATCTTCTTGCAAACCATAGCTTTGGTTACAATGGCATCAATGCTATGAGGTAGTTTGTCAACAATAGTTTCATATGTCTTTAAATCACATAACTGTATTGCTTGTTAACTGCTCCACACACTGTAGGACTTGATACACGGGAATCAGTCAATGCAGTGGGTCAGTTTTTGTTTATCCCATTCACATGACAGAAGAGGCCTAATATTTGATCATGCAAGATGCTGTAGTGTTGGTACCAAACTTGTTATCAAAACAAATTCCTCCAGATGTGCATACATGATGGCACTGTTACTGTGGACACAGATACACACATTTTTTTGTTTGTGTCTGGAAGACATTGTACTGACTTGCCTTCATTTACTGGAGATTTACAGTAGCCTTAATTATAACTGCTACCTTTCTAACCCCCTAAACTTAACCAAAAACCAAGTCTTAACCCTAAAGTTTAATGATTTATCTTGTTGGGACTGGCTCTCTGTCCCCACATTGAGGATCTGCAAACACAACATGATAAATACAACTACGCAATTATGCATTTTAACTTATAGGAGAGACAATAAAGTTGTTTTAAAGTCTTTTCTTTACAGCCTAAAGCTTAATTTTACATCATTGTTTCACCATAAGGGAGGTTATTAGTGGTTGATTCGTGGTCAAACTAACATTCTTTGTCCCTGACATCACTCTGTAATCATGACAAAGCTTTGCAGGAGATTTTGGCTCGTATTCATGAGTTTACTGTGCTTTTGTGAGGATTTGAATAAACAGCATCATTACCTCTCTTAAGGATATACACACCAAAACTCCTTCTGCACCTTTTCAGTGTGCAAAGCAAACCAGCCGTCTGCTCTATCATAACGATTTCCTGTTCAATAATGTCGACCCTTTGACCCCCTAAGCTGGAGGTTACCCCTGCAGAGGTTAATCAGAGGTTAGGTCAGACTGGAGTGTCTGTGTAATGTATACATGCAGCAGGGCAGACACTTCAGTCCTCTGGCTTGGCTGAGAAATGTGAGCAAAGGACTAATGTCTCACACATTCCTTTTGTAATAGGCCCACCTACAAAGCGTGAGCTGCAAACAGATGGTTATTCTCAACTCAAGCTGAGGATGGACTCTCATGGGCTTGGATTTTTAATGATATGTTCAGCCAATGCAGTTCATGTGTATGTCCGTATACTGAATGTGCATCTCCTGGCATGTCTGTGTCTATAATGAAATGTAAATCTCCCAACTTCCGTGACTGTCTATTGTTAACTAAAGGTTACAATTTACACATGCACAAAAGCATTTTAATAGTGTTTGGACATATTTTTTGCTCCCCTTACCTTCCCCTCATCTATTAGATTTTACTGGTGATAGGAGGAAAGCGCACAGAGCCAAAGTTGTGTGCTCAGTCTCCTCCTGGGAAGGATATTATTCCAGCTCTGCGCTAAGGGTCACGAGCTAGCAGGGCAGGTCAAGCATCTACTTTATCCACATCATTTCTCCTCAACCCTCTACAGTATAATGCTTCCCTCAGTTTCATCTCCACCCTACCAGATTTTGACAAAATAAACAGGGAACGCTTCGGAAATGTTTTACATCTATTACAATTAATTTGTCTCACACGTTGTCTTGATGTGAGCAGTTTCTTAAGCCGTCGCCATAAAGATACTGTAATTTATGCCCAAGTGTATGGTACATTCACACCTCATATTATGTGTGAGTTGTTTTGTATATATGTACATATTTGGTTTCCTCTCCTTAAGTTGTGAGTTTCAGTGATACTCTGTTTTGACTAAGATTTTTTAATAAACTACAACCTAGTTTATGTTGGCTCGGCATATATGTTTAACATTATTGTGTTTTTTACACCTCACATCATATAGAAAGTTATGAAATTCTTTTCCACAGTATGAACATTGCTTGAAGATCCAATATAAACATTGTTTTTACTGTGTCACAATCCAATTTAATGGTGTATTCACGGTTGAATTTGTTGTTTTGTTTCAAAATTAAGTAAGTATATCATTTATGTTTTTAATGAAGCTGAACTGAGCTGTAAGCAATTACATGTGTGATGGGAAATGTCTCATAACTTGTATTTGTTCATGCATCTGGAAACAGAAATGCCTTGTGCCAAAAATGACTTTATCTCAAGTAACAGAGGAATACAGTTGTTGGTAAAAACAATGTTTGGATTAAGCAAGAAGTGTTGCTTAGCTTGAATTTGGGTAATCCTTTTATGGTAAGTGACACTGACCTATCCTGATTTTACAGTTTCAGTGTCATTTTACTTTTTTGTTATTGTCCCCTAAAAGCAAAACCTAAATGTGAAACAGCTTCTTTTTATTACAAGTATAAAATAATGTACTTCCCTAATCAATGAAACACAGATAGTTGATAAACAGGCTGTAATGTTGGACAAGGTTTATCCAAACATGCACTCATATCCATAACTGGCCATGGCTCCAGTCCTGCTGCTGGCCTCTCGAGAGCCAGGTGTCTGTTCCCATCTGCGTCAAACCTCAGCTTCTCCTGAGTGTGCTCTCTCTGCAGCTCGGTTAACGAGGACATGCAGTCAGCCAGCACCTCCTAAAACATACAACAAGTTATAGGCCATACATATACATATAGCCACTGATTTGAAATGTTTATGCAGTTCCATTGTTCAACAAATTCCCATCAGAGTGGATTAAGTAATGATGATCATCATTTACGTACCTGCGTTACAGTAAATGAAGCATGAGCACTCAAATTGAACTGACAACACTTTAATGAATTAAATTAAATATATTTATCCTGTGTTCATCGTACCATTGATTGCTTCTTTTTTTTTGCCTGTAAATGACTAATTTCTTTCAAACTGAAATAAGAACTTAATATATTCTGTGGCTGAACAGATCCAACAACAGCAACAGGTTTACAATTATGCAAATGATCAGTTCCAGTCTGACTAATAAGAATCCCAACCATAAAAGCAGCACAAAGACGTGTACAGTAACAGTGCACACAGTCTGTGACCCTGATGAGCGTGAAAGCACAGAGTGGGTTCATTGACACTAATGCTCATCCTTTCAGTGTTGTGTTATAGTCCAGGCTTTGGAACAGAAAGACGCTTTCACATCTAAACATGAATGGGACTAATCAAGGGGATATGATACTGTTGTCAAGTAAATAAATGCTGTTCTGTTAAACAGAGGCAGCTGCATCGCCACTCATATGTCAACCATTTGAACAGATAAATATACGCATGGGGGTATATTGCCTAAAAGATCTCATGATTTGTTTGGTTACTGTCCTTGACACGCTTACACACCCGTACAGTATCCTACCCTGTCTCCCTCCCTCCTGTAGTGGGTCAAGTTCTGCATGCATTCTCAATGAGGGTTTGGCTGGTACTTGCATGCCAACTGCACTTGGATAGTCCCAGGCAGAGAGTCAGCTGTAGCCAGTTATTGGATTGATCAAGTCATATTAATGCTTTGACCTCTCTCGCACACACACTCATACTGAACATGCTCTGGTGTTGCTTCTTTTCCAGAGACTGTGGGGGCTCCGGCAAACGTAAATCAGGTAAGGATCTGAAATCTTTTTTAACTCGGTCAGTAGAATCTGTTGAACTTTTATTGTATTTGCTGCTCACTTAAATGATATTATGAGTTTGAGGTCTTTTTTATGTACAAGTTTCAATCTGTATATTTGCACAAACCTCTTGCGGTTTAAAGGGGAACTCCACTTATTTTACACATTGACGTCTGTTTACCAGTCTTGGGGAGTACTACTGCATATATGTGAAAAAAGTATTTTGTTGCTCCACAGGGAAGTGCCTGAAATCTTATAAATTCCCTCAAATTATGTCATGGCAGCTGTTTTGATAATTGATTAAGGGTTTCAGTAATTTCACACAATCACAAAAATGCCAAACATTTTCTGGTTTCAGCATCTAAAATGAAAAGATTTGCTGTTTTTCTTCGTTACATATTGGATAATTTGATTTTGGACAGTTGTTTGGACAAAACCAACAATTTGAGGACATCACCATGTGTTCTGAGAAATTGTTAATGATGTTTTTTCATAAAAATAATTAGGGGAATCATTGATAATTGATATAACTGAGGGTTGCAGCCCTAGTTTGGAATAGAAAAGGTATCTCTGCTTCTGCTGGGTTGATTTGTATCCTTTGTAGGTGAGTATGACGTAGGTATGCCATAGGAGTGCAATGCTAAAGGAGTACTCCTTTAAAAGAACATGTTCCTCCAGCACACATCCTGATCTAACACTTCTGTATTCTGTATTATCTTGTGATAATAACAGTGTTAGGTGGGAGAGACCACATGTTTGTGACTCTATGCTCTGTATTTGGTCTGCCAGGGTTGTGTGTTGGTTTTATGTTTGTGTGTGTGTGTGTGAGAGGGAGAGAGAGAGAGAGAAGAGGAGAGAGAGGAGGAGAGAGAGAGAGAGAGCAACAAAGACATAAAGACTCAGCTGAGCATGGGGATACAGGCGTAGGAGGCAGCAGGAAAAGTATGAGAGGGGTTTAGTGAACAGCTGTGCAAGTGTTGTGTATTTTTGTGTCCATGCAGTCTCAGAATACCGACATGCATTACTAAATTACATGTTAGTCCTGCAATCAGATGCAAACTTACTGTGGCCATCCATCTTGCAATCTGTCACAGTTATGTATGACATAGCTGGGCAATGAAAGTCTCAGTAAATGACCTGTAAGTTAATTTTCTGTGGGCAATGCAATCTGAGGAAAAGCTGTGTCGGAGTTGCCACCAAAAGAAATAAGACCCCAACCTAATTTCATTATGTGTTCCATGGTATTGAGGCTTTACGTAACAGGGGATTCCAGCTTCATAGCGAAATGGAAAAATTGTCTTATTTCAGCTGTGTGTGTGTGTGTTGAGTAGCGTACATTCAGTCTGTGCAAGATATAAGATTGGTTTCCAGCTATATTCATATCGGCTGCCTGGAAAGTTAGTCATATAGCGCCTGTCATTTCAGCTGTTTTAATCTGGATGGTTTGATTTGATATTAAATATGTTATCACCTGTGTAGCTTCTGTACATATATCTATGCTTACAATAAATCAGTCGATGAGATCAAGTCTACCAATGAAAACAATAATAACACACTTTATGTCTGGCGCTCGTGATGATTTAGTATTCACAGTCAACATGGAGCACGTACTGTACAAGGCCTTCATACTTGATCTCTAAACCTTCCCCATAGTCCCCCATGCTGGACATTAGTGGTTAATGCAGCTGAAAGATTGATCTTTCTCTTTTAAAGCCGGACAGCAGATAAAGTGCAGTGAGTCTGTGGTGAATTTGTGCTGTAGCTGCAGCTTATGGTTTCCATAATTACATGGTGCAGGTCTCCCATAAGAGTTTACGGAGCCCCTGCCCTAAACAGGAGAATGTAGCCTTTCACCACAAAACTGCTAGCTGTGAGAGGTTTGAGTAGGAACTTACCTACACACACACGATCGCTCACTGTTCATGGTCTCATTATCATCTTTGTCTTCACCATTTTCATAATTGTTTATCTTCTTTGTCTCTTAACTTCTTTATTCTTTTTAATACACTTGGAGGGCTCATACTGGGTGATGGAGACCAGTGGGGAAAAAAGTGATTTGAATTTCAATTGTGTTATATTCTTAGGGACTTCAGGCCCTCATATGTTTGCAGTAAGATTCTGGCTTGTATCTCATTTACTGCCTCCAACTGTGACTTCCACTTCAGTATGAGGTTGAAGCAGTCTACGTTATTGACTTAGCATCATAGCCATGCAATTATCAGGATTAGTTGTCAATACTGGGCTTGTCACCAAAAATCACTGTCAGATAAGTGGTGTCATAAAAGGAAACATCTTAAATACAATGTTGATTAAATACATAATACTATATCAATACAAGAAATGCAAGGCAAAGTTGTTTCATAGGTCAAAGAAAGAGAGTATTCAAATTAACTCAAATTTTAGGATCAACTGCTGCTTACTTTTCAGGATGTTGAGGTTCAGGAGATTCAGATCATCTTTAAAGGATTAGTGGTAATCTGTATTCAAAAGGAAAGTGAGATGAGCAGAGGACAGTTAGAAGTTGAGTAGGAGAGGAAAAGAAATGGAGCGCTCAGGGGTGTAGTGCATGTGAAAAGCAGCTGGAGAGGAGAGGAGGTTTACGTGGCAAGTGGAAACCATTTCAGTGTTGCGCACAGACTGAGGGAGTGTGTTTATGTGTGCAGACTTGCTGTCTTTATTTGAGCAGCGGGTCTCCGGGGGCCTATAGGGTGTGTACGTGTGCATGAGGTTGTGTCTGTGTGAGGGTTTGCATGCCGTATGTGGGCATGTGTGTGCGCATGCTTTGTCGGGAGGAAAGGGGTTAATGTGTTCGCGGGTTAGATGGTGGGTGGGTCAAGAGGTCTGTGTGTTTGTTTGTATTTGCAGATGGATAAGATTTTAAACTGGCATAGGAAATCATTAAGGCAAATGAGCAATTCCAAATCTCTTTAACAACCGTTCACTGTTTCAGCTTCTTCTTTCTCAATGAACACCCCCACCTCACCCCAGACTCACTCACACGCACAATGAGTCTCACAGTAGCCAGTAGATTAGTTTTATGGGTTAAACCAGGTTTAAATCAAATGTTGCATTTTTCTTTACTAGATGCTGTTAAAAGTCAGATATGTTGTTGTTGTGCTGTTCATTTCATGGACACAGTTTGTTTATTAGTGTATAAGTGTTTTTTTCCCCAAAGTTACCACTTAACTCTGGCAGGGTTGAAGCTCCACCCCCTCCAGCATGGAGCAGATCCAATACAGGCCGCTCTGTTTCTGATAAGTGACCATTTGTCACAGTGGACTCCCACACTGGAGGCAACACTTGAGCTGTTTGCTCAAAACAAGCCAGAAAATGTTCTGTAATAAATGAGATCAGAAATTTATTTTTATTTCTGTATTTGTTAATCTTGCATAAGGTATTAGTCGTAGGGATCCGGTATGTTGTTCTGTGATGCACTTGCTTTTCCTTCACTTGCTAGTTGTCAAGTGTTAAAGACGCCAGAGGTTCTACTACAAAACCTGGTCAAGTGGAGGTTTGTCTGATCTGATTCCAGACTTTGTGGAAACTTCAACATCCAGTGCAATGATGCTACTACTGAAGTTAAAGGTACCCTGTGTAGTTTCTTACCCTCTAGTTTCATGTATTTCACTGATCAACAGTTAGTGGTAATCTTTCAATTAATGTAGCAACAAAGGCAAGAAAAAAGAAGACTGCTCACAAGCAACCATGGATGTAAACAATGTAGGTTTCATATTTCTCCAAACCTGTCTGGTAGTTTTTCTTTTAGCTAATATGACATTTTCACTTTTCTCTAGAACTAAAACACTGAGAGAATCAGCAGATCCAGTGACGATAATTACGATATTCAACTGTTTTTAACAGCCTTGTAAAGGCTGTCTTACTGTAAGATGATTTTAAGGAAAGTTTCTGTACTATTTGTTTGTGGTCTGCCCCTTCTCCCTCAGGGCCACATACTGATTCAATGACATGAGTACATCTGTACTACATTGAACAGCAGTCCTGTGTCCTTTCCTAATCCAACTGCACATCTGCTGCTGATGAGCCAAACAAAGGCATCGCACTTTGCCAAACTTTACTCCTCTCAACCCAGATCTGCTCTCATAAAGTCACCCCTGGGTCCAGAATATGGCACTAACACATAAAGGCCTGTGCCAACTATGCTATCAACCAAAAGGCTTGATCCTGAAAAATCTCTCAAGAAAAATGTTTTGGTATAAATGGGTAGACGAGACTAACTGGTTTCCTCCTCTTGGTGATGAATTATTGCACAGTTCCAAACTGTCATCATCTTTGGATGGAGCTGATGATGGGTGAGTGGGGGTGGAGGTGGAGGTTGGATGGAGTTAGGACGTCTGGGAGTGCAAGGGTGGGAGCAGGAAGCACATGTATAAATCTGAGTGAGGAGAGATATAAACACAGAGAGTGGCTAATAGGGCTATCTGATGGAAGCCAAGAGGAAAATACTTTTCTTTTCAAAGCTCATAAATACTTTAGATCTACGTTGTGCATACACAAACCGCATAATACAAATTTAAACACACGTGCAAGCTCACACACACACAAACGCTCTGTAATGGTTCCCAACCTTTTTTGTAACACAAATCCCCACAGCATCTGATGAACTCAAGTACCCCTTCATTGATAATACCCATTGTGTTCCAAGTGTATTCATTTGAGTATAATTAAGCCATTATAATTTATCACCGATCTAAAAGTGGATATTTTTACAATGTATCATATAATTGAGCTGTCAGTGTAACGGTTGGTTTGCATTTGTACAACTACCACTTGGAATGGTAGACACTGGGCGTTTCAACCATTTATCTATTGCTTTTTTGCTACAGTATATTAAAATCATTTATTTATTACGTTTACCTATTTCACACATCTGTCCATTGCTTTTAGCTATTTCAACCATTTAGACATGACTTTTAGCTATTTCAACCATTTAGCCATGACTTTTAGCTATTTCAAACATTTACATACTGCTTTTAGCTATTTCAATGATTTAGCCATGACCTTTAGCTGCTTAGACTATTTAGTCTAAGCCTTTTTTTTTTTTTTACCTTTTAAACTATTTCGACCAGAAAGTAATTATTTTTAGCTATTTTGACCATTTAGCTATGACTTTTAGCCAGCGATTCTAGCCATTAAGCTAATGCTTTTAGCTGTTTCAACCATTTAGCCACAATATTAAGCTAACTGTTTCAGCTTCTGCTTGCTAATAGTTTCCATGCACCTTTATCTGACCACTTTATGTGGATATTTTGTATTTGCTTTTGATAAAATCGTTATCTTAATTTTTTTCAAATTAGCTGAGGTACACAATCTTTTCCACGTGGCCCCGGCAACTGCAGAAAAGTTTTTGGAAATCACTGCTCTATATCACCTTTTTCAGGGAGTGACTGATTTAAGTATCCCAGCTTTACTTGGCTGATGCATTTCATTGTAATCTTGATTTGGACACAGTAATTCATAAAGCTCCTTTATACTCTGTTCTCTTTCCGCAAAACTTATTTGAAATTAGAACTATCCTGTCCAAGGCTGTTTCCCCTCATTTTTCTCACACATGTTCTCCTTGTTCTGGCCCTATCTTCCTGCTGTTGCAAAACATTTCATTTCCTGAATGAGGCTGAAATATTAGCTTTTGTTTTTCAGGCCTGTTGACTTTGCTGACAAAGTCTTTATTCACTCACCTCAGGTCTCAGATTTTCTGTTCACTCACAGCAGTAGTTAATTGTATGTTTTAGAAACCTCCATTTACATCATTTTACACAGATTATGGTTTTATGAGATTATCAGTTTTATGTCCATCTGTCTTGAAATTGTATTGTTAAGTGTACCTCTTTCATTTTTTTAGTAAGACATTGTCCAGGATGGCATATTTATTCCAAAGTAGTTTTCAGACAGGCCATGTTTAGTATTAAATAGGCAAAGGCACCGGATAAATCCACAGGTTTGTTGTAGTTTGGGAAGATTGCTGATCATGAAAAAATAAGTATCTCATTTAAATTGCACGCAGTAAAGGTATTGCAGAACTAATAAATCTGTAAATGTAGACAAGCCAAGACCATAGGTGATGACAGGAAAATGGATTTACTCATGTCCAAATACTGCATACAGAATTTGTCGGAAAGATGCCTTTGAAAATGTAGTTAAGTAGTTAAAACTGGCAAAATGTGTTTAATAATGGCAGCAAAACATGTTTGTGTCAGTCATCTTATGTCCTTGTTCAGCCTACATTATTAGTGATCGGTGTTAATTGATCTGTGAGTTAAAACAAACCACTCAACCACACATGTCCAACAATAGTGTCAAAAGAAATATCACTGTTTGCTGTAACTAAAGTAATTACTGTCATATTATACTTTGAAGAACAAGAAGGCAATACTCAGACTTTAGATATGTTCTTTCCAGTCTTTCTGCACCCAACTTTGTGGTTTGACAAAACATCTTGCACAAATAACGTGAAGCTTCATAAACCACAACCCAACCACAGTAATCCAGTGTCAGGCTCTTTGGCAGTTTTAGCACTTCAGATGCTAATGGTGCTGAGTTCATCTTCGTAAGTTATGAGCTCCTTGACATTTCAAATTTAGTTCCTGAATTGAATTCAAAATATTATCCAGATAGATAAATGTTAATCTTCAGTCTGAAGGACTGTCGCCAGATCAGTTCTTGGAAATGGCAACTTAATCCAAGTTGTCTTGATCATTCCTTACCTAATCCTCAAACCTTCCATCTATTGGACTGGATTGTTCTTATTACCATCCTCAGGATAGTAAAAGTTCCCTTTTCAAGAAACTGTGTTTACCACATAAAAAAGGGGCTATTTTCTCTTGTTGACATTATTTCCCTGAAGATATTTGTTGATTATGTGAGTCAAGGGCTCTTTTTCTTCTCGCTAACTACAGTAACTGATGGCAATAAAAGCAGCAATGTGACCATAAATAGAGATTGTGATCTCTACTGTTTGTAGACCTTTTGCTGTTTTTCAAACACACCATAAAAGTACATTGTGTATCTGTTATAGCAACCCTATTATGGTAAACAGATATAATCTTAAGTGTGCAGACAGTAGCTCCCTTCTGTTAGAAGCTTTGAACTCAGTGGTCAGCAGAATCTCTTGTTAATGTGTGAACTGAGTGTCAGCTGGGGTTGTGTCTGGATTCCTGGTGACGCTTGTTAGATCTGCTTTAGTTCCTTCAGCTATGCTTGCTTTAAGGATTTTTCATGATTAAGGCTTCAGACAGACTCAGTTAATATAGCTTTGCCAATGTGTGGGGTTGTGTGTGTTTGTAATATATCGGGCACTATATACATGTATTTGTTTTTACAAATAAAATCATATGTTTCTGTCTTTAAAAGACATTCCTGTAGTCAGTTAGAATGAAACAAACTCTTGTTAAGTAGTTGATGTGTCCAAGTTATGAAACCAAGCACAAACCGAAAAAACTAAGTCACTGCTGGTGTTTATATGGTTAACTCAGTGAAGTACAGAAAGAAAGATTTCCATTGGCTGGGCTGCACGCTGTAGTCAGAGTTCTAGTGTTTCATGGAGACAGAGGGCCATCCCTCTGAGCACAGCTCCAGCCCCTTCATCTGGTTCTATTTAAGGCCTCTAGTGCCGACTCTTATGATTGGCGTACACAACCCCCTACTCTTCCTCCAGCTCCAGCCCCAACTGAGGAGAAGGAGGCTTTTTAGCTGATGGTTTATTTTCCAAGGGAAACCATTTCTTTCTCCCACTCTACTGTCCTGTCCTCAGCTGGCTTTAGCTCACTTTTCTATCACTGCTACAGCTCCCTCTGCTTTCTCGTTGCTGCTCCTCTTTCCACTGTGTTAATGTACCTACCTGTATCTACTGACCCAGGCCCTCTTTGTTGGACAATAAGGATGAGGCCCCTTCAGTAACACAGAATGGATTTTCTGCACTTGACTGTTTGATCCTTAACTTTTTGGAGGGAAATTCTTTTCCTAGACTTTCAGCATCTCCATTGCCCTCGTTGTTGGGCTGGAGGGGGATGCAGCTCTATGGCTAGACTCTCAGGAAGATGCACTGAGCCCTACGAATATTGTGATTGGCTGAGCTCTACAGACAAAGTGGCCTATGGCACAACGGGTGCCCAGCAGTCGTTCTCGTGGACCTATGGCTGGCAGCTGGCTGACAGCGTGTTTTTTCCCATCAACTCCAGGTTTGGATGCTTCGGATCCCATGCTCCTGGAACAGTATGTGGTGGTGGCCAATTACGAGAAACAAGAGCCTGCAGAAATCAGCCTTCAAGCGGGCGAGGTGGTCGACGTCATTGAAAAGAGCGAGAGTGGTGAGTAATCAAAACAAATACACAACAAAGACATGTTGAGCAAGAATAGGCAGCATGCATTTTCTGTATATGTTAGACACAAAACAGACTCTTCCATGATTCAGTCCATAGTTCCACAAACATGCTGCCCTTTTCCCCAACTCAACCCTCTCACCTCCTTTGTCCATAGCTTGCTAACTGTTACTTAGCCCCATCTGGAGGCTCGCTTTGGCCTGCAGTCAGCCCTGTTTTTTCCCACTGTTGGTTTAGGCTGTGGGCCAGAATGTTGCCTCTAGCAAGAGGAATGTCTTCCAGACTTGTATTAATTATTCCACCTCACTTTAATGGAAAGCCAGCAAGACGTGCCGGATTTACAAATGCCAGCTGCAGAGAGTCCTTAGTCAGCTGTTTTACCTCTGGAAACAAAGCCAAGATCATGTTTTAGGGTATATGTGATTCAGTTTGACAATATTCAATGGTTAATGAGTCAGTAGCATGCTGACGTAATGCACAACTTCATGATATTCTTAAAATATGCTGTAATGCTTCCAGGAACTTACATCTATTGTGGATGGAAGAAGATACAAACATCTTGATTTTTTTTTTCAAAAGTATATGAATTAACTGAAATATATTATATCTAGTTTTGAGATGCAGTAAAATGAAAACTGGTTAGATAGTTTTGTAGATTTTATAACACAAGGATCCCAGAAATGCTATTATCAGCTAAGCTAATGTAATGAGTATAAAATCATGTGTCTTTGATACTAATACTGTCAACAGTGTTTGACACCCAGGTCTAAGCACCTGCCCAAATCACTATTATTTTGAAAGGAATGTGCCATATGAAGCACAAGAGTGGCCGTAGAGGTAAAGGGCCCAGTAACAGGGTCTGACATTCAGCTTTAATGGTGTGCTGAGACAGTAAAACATTAATGGGACTCATGTGTTCTTCAGCGGGAGGACGGGGAAAAGAGAGATGGAGGAGGAAGCAGTGACCAGGAAGGCAATTGGACTTGGGTTTCATGATGGGTGTGAGTGAAACGCCATGCCATACTGGCCTCAAGGAAGAGGGTCCGTAGAGTAGGATCGCTTTGAAGTGTCACGTGTCCTGCCTTCGGGTTCATGTATTTGTTTTCACTCCCTGCTCCAGTAGGATTTCAACTCAATGGGGAGCCACAGTGAGGCGGATATTCCAACACCTTGAAGTGCTTTTATCGGGGGCCTTATATGAGAGCTTTCCTCCATGAACTTGAGCTGCATGGTCCTGTGCTTTTAAGTAGAGGCCCCTTCTCCACTTTTGTATTTCAGCTAACCACTGTGCAAAGTTATAGTGGTTGATCTGTGTGTTGATGATCCATGCAGAATGTGAAACACATGAACTTCAATGGTCTCATTGCACATTTATGATTTCCAGGCTTCGGCGTTACTACTGAAGCTTAGTTTCCACATTATTATCACTTTGTTTTGTCCTTTTCTCTGATACAGGCTACATTTGGCTGCTTCTCTCAGTTCAGTTTGTTCCTAAATCTCTGGTTTGGTTGGCTTTGTGAGTTTCTAGAAAGCAAAACAGTAGACTCCAGGCTTCTTAAAACACATGCTAAGGCTATTTGACAGTTTTATTATACACTGACGGACACTTTCACAGAGATCTGAAGTAAATACCCCCTCCCCTCTCCCCCACATCTTGCTATGGAGACTGTTTCCAGCAGCACAGCTAGCGTTTAACTGAAATCTCAACACCTCTTGCATTGGAAGTCGACTAAATCTGCTCCATTTGGCTGGGTGACATCACCCCCTATCACTTTGCCAATACTAACAAGACCAGGTGTGTGCTAAGAAGATTTCAGAGCTCATTTGATTTAGCATCCATTCCCTTGCAGGATAAGTACAAACCCTTTAATGGTTACTGACAGATTGATCTGTGTATTACAGAGCTAAGTATGCTGAGTTAGAGGTACTAAAAGGTGTCTATTACATTTATAATGATCAAAGGGCTGTATGGTTTTTTATTGAGCCTCCAGCTATAGTCACACATTTTCCTTTAAAGCCATGCAGATTTAAACCAGCATGGGTTCCCCTGCAGAGTCATTGAATGCACTGAGTGGAAAATATCTGCATGCTGTCATATTGCCATCTAATTTTGTATCAGTGTGTCTGACCAATTTTATATGAGTGTTTTTTAACACAAAGGTGTGAGTGTAGATCAAACAGATCTAGAAATGGAAAACTTTAGCTCTTTGCCATTCACCCCAGTCCTTCAGCAGAAGTCCTGCTGTTAAAGCTACTGTACCATAGACTGTGGCTGTGACTGCTGCCCAGTGCAGTTATCGACTTTTCCTTACCTTGGATTAGATAATATATGCCTTTGACAGGGCTAGTGAATCTAGGTCAGACCTATAAGCGAGCTCAGCTTTCTCCACTTTTCCAGCCTGCTGTCCTGAGCCAAGGCAGTATTTTCCATCGCACTGGCTTGACTATACAGTTTGTGTCGTGGCCTTTGTTTCAGTTAGTACAGTAGTTTATATTGATTTCTGGTTTGTTGAGTTACTATTAAATAACTCCCATGAACATAAATCCAATCTAAAGGAGCAATTTGAAAATGTTATAGAAGTTGCTTTTTAGTTTTAGTGAAAAAAACTAAATTGGTTTTATAATTATTGATTCTGTCCTCACTCCCATCTGCAGCTATTTTAATTGTCTATTTTATGAGAGTTTGCCAGGGGGAAATGCTGGCTCAGGAGGAGAGAGTAGTGCAGGGGGAAACTCAGGGAGAAAATGGAAAAAGACATTTCCTGCCAAAGTTAGTGGTTCAGAGAGGTTGGTTCATTATAATGGCTTAATGGATCCTCCAGGATGCCTCCTCAGTTTACACTATATCGGAGAGATGTTAACCAAAACTAAGCTAGCAACCTTGTTGGTCAGTTCAATTGCTCTGTATTCAGTGGTTTAACCTTTGCCCTTTAATGGAGTAGTATGTAGGAAGGGAAAAGATAATTTGCAGTGACTTCTGGAAATATTGTACTTATTACAGCTGGTTTGCCTACCCCTCAAGGGCAGCGTCTGGTGTGTTGTGCCCAGTCCTGTGTAGAAAATTTCTCTGTGGACCATTCAGGGTTTAACTTGTCTCGATTCCAAGTCCAGATCAGGCTTTATGAATTACAGTTTGCCAAATGAACTCCAGGAATGCCTGTCTGTTATGGAGAGACCAGCTCACATTTGTCAGTCCCTCCGGCTCCCCCAAGACCCCCTGGCACCACCCATGTACAGTATGTATTGTATCTCTACTGCTCCACCCAGCTTACTTAAGCAGGGTGGAGTAAGTGAAATTTCAGGAAGAGTCTTAAGGGTCACTTACTATGATCGTAATCTTAGCTGTATAAAATGTGCTTTTTTTGTCCTTTTTGTCCTCGCACACACATATTTTAAGTTTTAAAAAAACTGAGCCATAAAGCTGGAAGGAAACAGAGGTATCCTGCAGGTGATGTTCAGCTCCCTGGCTGAGAGCCCGTAGAGACTGCTGGAGTCAAATCCTGGCAGATTAAGCAGGTCTGGCCCACAGTATGGCATGATGGATGTGCAGGATGTTCTTTACCTTCACATGGAAAAAATGTACCAACACAATAATGTCTCCGCTCTCCGTCTTCAGGCTGGAAGTGGGATTATCTCAGGGCTCAGCTCAGCAGGAGCTTGATGTTCAGAGAGGGAGATTCTGAGTTTACTCAGAGAGCACAGACTTACTGTTACTCTTTAAAGGATGAGTCCTGTAAAAGTTTTCTATAAAATTATATAAGCCAGTGCAATTTGGTCTAGCCATTTTGGTCCAGACTTCAATATCTCAACAACTACTGGATGAAATCGGGTTCTGATATTCATGGTGACCAGATAATTTATTCTGATTACTTTAATTATCCCCTGACTTTACCTTTAAACATTATACCTGCTAAACATCAGCTTGTTAGTATAGTCATTGTGACCATGTTAGCGTTTAACTCGAGGCACTGCTGTGTCTAAGTACAGCCTCACAGAGCTGCTAGCGTGGCTGTAGGCTCTTAGTCTTCTTTCAGCTATCAGGCCCAGACAAAAACAAACATGGGAGACATAACCTTGGTAAAGGTAATAAAGTGTGCTTCTCCTTGAAGCCCTCAGTCTACAGTCTGCAGTATTTATTGTTTCACCTGAGACATGCTCCTAGGTCCTCATATTCATCCTTACAATTATTCAGATTACAATTTATGAAAAATGACAGCTGACTCTTCTCTGTGCCTCGATAATAGAACCAAAAGGTGTGTTTCAATAATAATCACTTAGTTAATGAGAGAACGGCAATTAAAATGCAGAATTTGCAGTGTGACAGCATCATGTATTCTGGTCGTTCCACATTTTCTGTCTCTGATATGCAGGACGATTAAAGGCAAGGTCAACATTAAACTTCTACTGCTGCTATAGCTCAAACCTTCAGTTTCCCAATTTGGTATGTGCAGTTTCAGCAAGAACATGTTTCCTTGTATAAAAGAGGAAAAACCCTATAATTCTTGTCAATGAACCACCGAAGACATGATGCAGAGAACTTGCCAAGTGTTAAATGTCTTTTTTAAGCTGAAGTTGCAGCAGCAGATGGAAGACACATTATCCACTCATAGTAATCCCCATCCTCCACATTCCTTCAGTTTACCATAGAAAATATAAATGACCATCTCAAGAAATTAATTTGTCCTGTATTTTAAGATATGGAAACTCAAATAGGAGGTTTGTAACTTGCTTTTCAGCATAGGCTTCCACTGCTTTATTTTCTTGCATCTTGTCACTGAGCGATACAGGCAGAGGAGATGAAGAACAGGAGCAATAACAGTATTTAAGAGCACACATAGTGGTAATAATAGCGTACAGAAATCAGTCTGTGGAGCCAAAAAGGTGCCTTTCTCTCTTACTGAAGAATTGACCATTGATTTCAACCTAGCATTTTGAAGGGTGGGCTTTCAGATGCTCAAGGACCACTGTGTCTCCAAATCAGTAGCGAG